TATGCAACCTTAATTCTGGACTCCTGTGCTAACCATAATACTCAATCATATATCACCTCTAATCTGTTCTTTCCATCATCTGCTTCAATACAGTATACATAATTTTTCAAATGAAAGCAAGAAAAAATCCATATATTTGTAAATCATGTGTCTTATATATGAATTTGAGATAAATGAACAATAGTACCTAGTACCATGCCAAGCACGGGGTCCTGGAAGTGCAATGTTTAAGCACATGTCTGCTAGTTAACTATTTGACCTCTATCAGTGGTGCCACAGAAAAAAGACTTGGCACTCTACAATTCTAGCTGGGAAAACATCACAGGGCAATTCTGCTGTTGCTGTAAGTCAAAATCAGATGTCTGACACTGAACAATAACAACACCATGCTGGAAATAAAGAGTCAAAAGCTATTTATGGCATCTAAGATATTGGGGAAGAGAAAATATGAACTTATGAAGACTATTCAATAGGTGCCATCAAGTCGAGTATGACTCATAGCGATCCAATGAACAGAAGATCTGAACCCTGTTCTATCCTGTGCCATCCTCATACTTCTTGACACAAGAGTGCATTGCAGTAGTCACTGTGTCAGTTCAACCTCGTTGAAGGTCATCTTCTCCCTCATCAACCCTTTACCCTTCCTACCATCATTTTCTTCTCCAAGGAACAGCCCCTCCTAGCAAGATGTCCAAAGTATGTGAGACAAAGTCTCATCATCGTTGCCAGAGCACTCTGGCTGTACCATCTTTAAACACATGTTTGTTTTCTTGGCTGTCCATGGGATGGTCAGTGCTCTTCTCCAACACTACAGCTCAAAGGCAGCAGTTAATTTTTCATCATCATTAGTCATTGTCCAGCTCTCAGATGCATAGCAAGTGATCATAAAGATGATGGCCTGAATCAGACATGATTTAGTCCTCAAGCTGACATCATTACTCCTCAATGATAAACAATCTCAAATTTTCTAAGCATTCCCTCCCACTTCCAAAAAAACAACCAACAAAAAAAACACAACAAAAACCAATATGATTATGTAAGTTTAAATTACTTCAAATTAGGAAATGCCAACTTGACGTAAATTTGTTGATTTAACATAAACTTGTTAAGGAGATCATATAACTTCTCAATTATTTTTCATTGTTGTTGTTGTTGTTAAGTGCCATTGAGTTGCAGGCGACTCATATCGACCCTATGAAGGAGAGTCCTCGACACTTGGGTGCCTTTCATCCTCTTTCCAGGTTTCTATATATTTCTATATAGGCACTGACATATTCCATTAGTGGCTATGACATACACATTTGCAAACTATGGAAATGTTAAATATAGTACCAAAAAATATACCCATAAGATTGTTGTTGTTATGTCGAGTCACTTGCGATTCATAGCGACCCTATGTACAACAGTTCTAAACTCTGCTCTGTCCTGTGCCAACCTCATTGTCTCCTACACACTCAAAATAATAAAAGTAATAGTGCTAAGAATACCTGTTTTGAACACGTACTGTGATGTAGGCATAAGGTTAAGCACTTTACTTACCTATGGGTTTGATACTGGTAATATTTTCATTTTTTTTCTATAATTATATTTTATTAATTTTCATAAACATTTACAGAGATTTTGGGTTTCCATTCATTCATTGTTGCACTATTCTCTCTACCCTCCTCCCAGTTTGTTCTTGTCCAAATGCCACAGTGCTTGTCAAAGCCAGTTCTGATTAATCTTCTTAGTGTGTCCTTTGCCATTCCCTATCACTCCTCCCTGAGAGAGACTTCACCCTGAGTCATAAGGAAAAGGGGATGGCGTATTCTCTTAGCTACTTCCTGCTGAAAAGGGACGCTGTGGGCTTCAGGGTGAAGATCTTCTCTCACTACTCTAAAGGGCCCCTTTGGCAGTAGGAAACACATAGACTATTATGGAGATTGATTTGGGAATTTAGATGAACTCTTATTGATTGTGTTTGGCCGTACATGTTCATATCCTTGAAGATGTATCATGGGGGTGTTGCAACCTAGAAGACACAAATTTGACTAACAAGTTATAAGTACACGAGTCAAAAATTATGGAAAAGTAAAAGAAAAGATTCTTTCATTGTTTTACAAACCCTCCCCCAGGTCCCCTCCACCATGTAGCCCTCGCTCTAGTCTCCTGTGATGACAGAAATATCTAGTTATATATCTCTTTTAAACAGTTTTCTCCCTCCTCTGTTTCAGTGCAGTATACATTATTGAACCCATCTTACTCAGTCTCTCCCCAACCCCAAGGACAGTCCCATTCTACAACAGTGGCATCATGTAATATTTGTCATTTTGTGACTGGGATATTTCACTCAGCATAATGTTCTCCAGAGTCAACCATTTTGAATAATATTGCATGAGTTCCTTGTTTTTTAATGCAGCATAGTATTCCATTGTGCGAATATACCACAGCTTCTCTAGCCATTCGTTTGTTGATGGGCACTTAGGTTGTTTCCAACTCCTTGCTATTGTGAACAAAGCATTTTAAAATTGAAAAATATGCTTTCTTCAGTTAAATTACCCCTGAATTATAGTTAATTAATACAGAGGTAAAACTCAATCTTTTTTGGTTAATTCTAAAATTTATGATTGTACCTAGTACCTCAAACTATTTCATCAACTGTCTCCTATAGTTTCTCTTATGGCCATCGAGTGGGAATTCACAGCTGACCTTCCAGTGGGTTTTCATTGGCTGTAAATTAACCCATGGGAGGAGATTCCTCATCTTTCTCCTACAATGAAGCTGATGCATTCGAAAGTTTGAGTTGTCAATACAACTCCTTACCCACTAGGCCACCAGAGCTCCCTATCTCATATGACTACTGGCTCATAAACTGTGGGTGAAAATTGAACAAAAAGAATGACAGAAAAATTGATTTTTTTATTTGCTGTATTGGTGGAGTATTAAATATTCCATAGACTGTTGTGTGCCGTTGAGTTGGGGCTCACACATAGCTAACTTTCCAGCAAATTTTCAGAAACAACAAATCACACAGAAGGAGACTGCTTATCCTCCTACAGAGCAGCTGGTGGATCAAACCACATGCCCTGGGGAATTGATGTGCAGCTTCTTACCAGTAGGACACCAGAGTTCCATATTCCACGGACTGCAAAAGAATGAACAAATCTGACTTAAAGGAAGAGAGCAACTAAAGTGTTCCTGAGAGGCAAAGATGGAGAAACTTCATCTCAGCTACTTTGGGCATACTGGGAGAGGTAGAAAGCCAGTAAAAAAGAAGTTTAACAATAAGATGAATTGACACAGTGATTATCACAATGAACTGGAGCAGAACCAAGACCATGAAAATGGCACAGGGTGAGGACAAGGTTCAGATCTGTCCATAAGGTTGCTTGGGAATCATAACTGACTAGACAGGACCTAACGGCAACATACTCTCTTATATGTCCTTAAAAAAATATGGACAACTTTATGTAAAACATTTCATTCGTTTAAAAAATAGAGAAGGTTAGTAACATGCCTAGAAGGGTTCTGTGGTCGTTGGTTGCCCATTGAGTTGATTATGACTCCTGGAGACCCACGTGTACAAAGTAGAACTGCTCTAGAGGCATTTCAAGCCTTGTAGATTTCCAGATATAAGTTTCAAGGACTATGAGTGGCTTTGAACATCCAACTTTTTGGCTAATAATCAAGCACTTAACCTTTCACACCACCCAGGTACTCGAGAAATGTTCTAGAAACTCTGAATAAATAAAATAGGCCAACCTCTAGTTTCTTGGAATATACATCAGAGAGGGAGATGCAAAAATAAATGAAACATTATTGAGCAGTATTAAGTTGATAGAGTAAAAATAATCAGGGAAAACATACACAGTATAAATGGGTTGGCTGTGAGCTATTTTGAATTTGACTTATCAATCAGGAAACAAATCTCCTATTAAGTGTCATATATGTAGAAAAGCAGATGAAGAAAGAAATTACGTATGCATATCCAGAGGTAGTTCTGTCATTGCAGTGGTTAAGCAGTGGATTTCTGCCTCAAAGCCTGACCATTTGAATCCACTAGCCACTCTAAGGAGAAAAGATGAATCTGTATGCTTTCATAAAGATTTACAGCCTTGGAAACCATATAGGCCATTTCTATAGGGCTGTTTCACCCATGGCTCCAAAGGAGAAAGATGGATAAGCTTCTTCCTGTGCCATTTTCAACCTGGGAAACGGAATGGAGGGTCAGCTGTGAGGCATTTCTGACTTCTAAAGGGTGTCCAGGAGACAGACTTGACTTTAGGACAGTAGTGTTGGTTTAAGAAAACTTATCCCTAGTGGCACAATGATTAAGCACTTGACCACTAAATGAGGGATTTGTGATTTGAACCTATCCGTGGTTCTGAGGCAGAAAGGCATGCAGATGTGTTCCTATGGATATAACAGCCAGAAAAACCCAGTTGGGCAGTTCTGATCTGTCACACACTTCACTATCTGTGAGAATCAACTTTATGACACCCAATAATAGCAAAACCAGTGACAACAGCATGAATAAATCTTAAGGAGAATAAAGTTCAGAGAGAGCAAAAGGACTAAGTGTGTAATTCTATATATAGTACACTGTTAGGTGTCATCTGGTCAACTCAGTTTAAACGCTACATAACTGTGTTGTCATTCATGCTTTTCAAACTTTAGTGAAAATGCAGACTGCCTGCAGGTGGAAGGAGACCTGATGTTGCTGTGATTAAATCTTTGACTAACTGCTAATAGGCAGTTTAGCTATTTGAATCCACCAGCTAGTCCATGGGAGGAAGTGGCAGTCTTATACCACAGCAACGGAAACTCTTTGAAACATTTCCACTCTATGCCATGGAGTTGTTATGAGTCAAATTTATTTTCTAAAGCACTGGGCTTGTTGGAGGTTTTGGTTCTGAGGTAATGCTTATCTTAATGATAAGCACATTTTGAAAGCCACTGCTATCATGAGCAAGGAAGAAATAAGCAGTAGCCAGTGTTGATATTCAGAAAGCATTCTACTTTATATAGTATAGCGTGCATTACATCGTCATAGGTTAGATTCTATTTTTTAAATTATAGAAACTTATATACTATGACGCATCATGTTTTATTCTTAAATGAAAAAGCCATGAGTTTAATAAGGCATAAATAGCCCAAATAAAATATTTTATTAGTAAGGTATATAAATTACATTTAAAAAATTGGTACTAATGACTGAAACAAGTTCAAATTTACTATGGAGAATGTGACAAGTTTACATATATAGTCACTTGCAAATTTACATATATAGTCACCAACAAGCAGGCAATAAACCCTGAAGCTTTTCTGTGCATTTAATTTCACAACTTCTTAACAGTAGCCATGCCCATATCCATCTCTAGAGTAACTAAAGACTATTTTTATGATCATTTAACACAGATAGATGCTACAACTATTTTCAAACCTCCAATGAATTATCTCCCAACTATATGTACAAAGTCATTCACTTACCAAAGTGTATTTAATTGTATTTTGACCAACTGAAAAACAAGTATGATTCTTCTACACAATGATGAAGACAACCCAAAATCTTCCATAAAATTTCAGATGTGAAGCTCAATTTTTAGTTTGTAACGCAGATAACCCCTGCATCCCTATTGTTTGACATAAGGTACAGAAAGTCCACAAATGTGAATTCTTTTCCCTAAAAATATATGCAGATTATTTCTTCTTATTGCTTATTATTTTTTCTTTTGTAAACAAATTCTAACTAGGTGTGTGACGGTGAGCCCATAAATGAGAATGGAGAACAGAATAAAACTTCACATAATGAAGGAGGTTTGGGTAAAAAAATGAGAGCTATTTCCTGGACCATGAAGAAAAAAATGGGTAAAAAATATATAAAAGCACTTTCTGAGGACAAGGTAAGTGTGCCCTGCTAATCACTTTTATTTTTCTATTAGAAATTTCTTAAAATATTCAATGTCTGTTTCTAGACACAAAAGCTCTTGATGTTTTATGAGACACTTAAAGATTTATTTGATTTCTCAACTATTGTGCCAATAAATTGGGTGGGAGGAAATATTCTAATTTCCATTGTAATGTAAGAATACTGGGGCTCAAAATAATATCTAAGGGTATAGTCTGAGATAAAGAATATGCTACAAATGTTGAAACTGTTGTCAGGAGTCAGTCCTTAGAGTAAATTTCTTGGAAAAGCAAAGGGTCAATGAAGGAGAGGGAGACACCTCCTTCCATGAGATGGGTGGACACCAGTGCCTGTAACCATGTGTTTAAGTACAAGATTGTGTTGATGATGCAGGGTCTGCAAATTTTCTATACATTTATTGAACTTAGGACTTCTGTGAGTTGAAGCTAAATGGACAAAACCTATCAACAAGAGCATGCTCATGGTGTATAATCTTACCAGTATTTAATTATTTTTTGTTGCCTAATAATATTTAATTGAAGGAATGCACTGCATTTTATTTATCAATTTATACATTATGGACATTGAGTTGTTTTCACTTTGGATTTATTACTAATAATGTTGGTTGTGAATATTTGTATATGTTTTGGTGTAGAAACAGTTTTCCTGAGTTGTTATATTCATTGGCATACGGAAAATTCATGTTTAATATTTTGAAAAACTAGTCAACTTCTCCTACTTTACAGCAGGGAAAGGTTTATCATCACATCCTATTCATAGCAACAGTGTATGAGGGCTCTAATTTCTCCACATCTTTGTCAACGTGTTTTGTTGTTTGTCCTTTTGATTGGATTCATGTCAGTGGGCCTGAAGAGGAACTCAAGGTTATTTTTATTTACTTAAACGCACTGAAGGCTCAGCTAAAAGTTGTTTCTGACTCACGGTACTCAACAACAGCATGATGACTAAAGATTTTGAGAATATTCTCTACAAATTATCTGCTATTTGCTCACCTTCTTTGTAAAAATAACAACATTCGATTACTTCTCTTTTTATTTTTGGGTTTTGTGACAAGTATTCTACATTAAAGTCCATTGCCAAATATACTATTTACAAGCATTCTCTGTGGGCCATTTTTTTTTTTTTACTTTATGTGTGTTGTATAAAACATAAAGGGTTTTTTGTAGTCCAATTGTAGTCCAGTTTAGATATTGTTGTTGTTGTTAGGTACTGTTGAGTCTACCATGACTCTATGAGTAACAGTTTTGAACGCTGTGCTATCCTGTGTCATCTTCACTTATTTCTAATAAACTTGAGCCCACTGTTACAGTCACTCTATCAATCCATTTAATTGAGTCTTTCTAGAGTATTTATTTTTTTTTCTTTTGTGTGTTTTATTTGTTTTTAATTTTTTTTTTTTTGTACTTTGGGTGTCGTAACTAAGAAATGACTAGCCGAGATTTGGCAGGTTAACTCATATGTTTATTTGTTTCCTTAAAATTTTATAGTTTTAGCTCTTAAAGTTTGCTGTAGGAGCCATTTGAGTTATTTTTTTTTGTCTGGTGTGTTTTAGAAGACCAGCTTCATTCTTTTGTATGTGGAACTCCAAATTGTTCCACTCCCATTTGTTAAATTTATTATTCTGCCTCATCATATAGTCTGAAATCCTTTTTGAAAAGCAACTGACCATAAATTTATTGTTATAAGTAAATTAATCATAAATACATAAGTATATTCCTAGATGTAATTTTATTCCAATGGTATATGTGTGTAATGCCTATTCTCTTTTCAACTAATTTTAGTGAAACCAGATGTATGTTCTTAAGTGTTCTCTTGAACTGTTTGTCACAATCAGTAGTGACTTTTGGTGATGCTAAATACAATGATCATTTCTATTTATTAAGTTTTACTTTACTTCTTAACTGTATTTGATGTGAAGGTGATTGTTTCTCTAATACTGAAATTTTTCTTTCTTCATTTACTGCTGGTCACTCTTCCACCATTTATTCTTCCTTAGATTTGCATCCCATTATGCTCTTAATTTTTCTTTATTTGATATCATCATGACTTACCTTGTATTTGATTAATTATATACTGCATTTATAACTCCTTTTTCTTTTTTCTTATTAGTAGTATGCACTGTGTTTAATATTCTAACATTACTATATGTTTTAAGTAATATTTCCAATGCCCAAACACACTATGTAGTTGACATAAAAATACTGATATAAAAAGAAAAGAAAATAATCTAAAAATAAAAATATATTTATTTCAGGACTAATTTAGGACAGAGTAGTCAGAACAGAATCCTGTTCTATGTCACAAACCACCTATTTTTATATGCCAAACTGAAACTGTGATTTTCATTTCTGCCAAAAAATTTAAAATCTGCTTATTGTCTTCCCAGTCACAATAGAAAGAATCATCATAATTCTATACAAACAATAAAATTAAAGCCCAAGGGATTATTCTCAATTCTTCATTCTCTCACGTTTCATAACAATTCATGTTAAGACTACTGATTTTAACTCCAAAGTTTGACCCAAGTCTCTTAACTTCTCCATGTAAACTACTCCTGCTTTGCGTATAATCATCAGCCTTTTTTGCAACTGTGACAATCACTTAATTGATTTCCTGTCCCCTAGTCTTACCTAGAAAATCCATTTTCCACATGGAAGTTAGAAAAAGTTCAAAAAGTAAAAGATCAGAGAACACCACTGCCCATGAATTACATACTGTTGCTTTTACTATTCACTCCCTTAGTATGGTATGCTGGTACTGATCTTCTGAGAAACTGATCCAAGATAAATATTTGTTGGGGGAAATGTCTGTAAAAACAAAGGGGAAGAGGAGAAACGAACAGAGGTAGACTTCAGACTGTAATATAGAGAGGTCTATGCATAGAGAAAGAAAAGGAAAGAAGTTTGAGAACAAGGGTCTCAGATTGAACATCATTCTGACCAAGCTTTAGCGTGGTTGCTGGAAAATTGTTGAGCCAAAGTTATTATTGAGAGTCTCACCTCACATTCTTCCAAATTATATTGAATAATATCTAGACTGTATTCATCTGTGTTTGGGAGCATGTCCTGAGGGCAAACACAGTTGTAGATCTGGAAAGTCTGTGATTGTCAGTCAAATACAGTCCCTACAGCAAAAGATCTTTGTGGCACATGTCCATAGCCACAACATGTGGTCTCTAACCACATGATCTGGCATGGTCTCCTCATGATCTGACACCAATCTACATTTCTGAACTCAAATCCTAATATTCCTCTCTCCCACACTGAGTTCCAAGTTATTGGTGGTGAGTTTTCCTCTGAAAAAGTAGAGTTAATTTTAAACCTTTTTCACTTGTTTCTTTGGCTTGGATGACTTTGTCACCATTTACTTTTTGTTATTTGCTTGTTTTATTTTTACAGAAGTTACTTCTTTCTATTGTTCACATAAAGAAGGTAGGGGCGGGGGAAAATACTACCTAATTTAAAACATCTATACAAGCTTGGATAGCAGGCATGGTATCCACTTCTGAAATAGCTTGCTCCAGAAACTACGAACATGGAGAAATGATGAAAGTTATATAAGTATTTAGATCTTTTGTTCATAGAGTTGCTATGAGTCATCTACGACTCAACAGCACTTAACAACAACAACAATGTAGAAAGAGTGCAGTTGGCCTAGTGGATAGAAAATTATGCTACCAAGCCAAAGGTGGGTGATTTTAATATGTGGCCCTCAGGCCTAGTTTTAATTGTTTTTGGTCAAACATTCTTCTAAGTCATATAGCACTGGTATGTCCATTTGCTGTACAGAGCTAACTCATGGTTGCTGTGATGGTAACCATATATGATTAATGATAATGATTACCCATGGTGGACAGTGTTTGGTGGAGCTTCCTGATTAAAACAATCTTGAAGGCAGGAGTGACATCACTTCCGAAGTGACTTGCCTCTGGAAACTCTGTGAACATGGAGCAATGATGAAAGTTATACACGTGTTCAGGTCTTTTGTTCTTAGGGTCACTATGAGTCGCCTATGACTTGATGGCACAACAACAACAACAATGGAGACTACCCCATGACAATCAGTCAACTTTCCTCAACCCTAACCCTAGGAGACAATTTGTCTAATGTTGCAGAATTCCATCTCTTTCATAACATGCATAAAAATATTAAAGCACACACAAAAATAGTCTAACATTTTAGATTCTGTATCATTAGAGAAAGATCCTTGTTACCTTGATTAGTTCAAGCTATGTAGTTCCCAAAACAATTTCTGATACCTAGAAGGTACTGTCTCGAGTAACACACAGGTAAAGCTTAGATTTCAATAAGTATAACTTTTCTGAGTAAATTGTTGTTGTTGTTAGATGCCATCAAGTCTAGATCAAGTCATAGATCTGAGCCCTGTCCTATCTCATGCCATCCTTACAATATCTGACCTAATTGAGCCCATTGCTGCAGTTACTCTGTCAAATCCCTCTTTTGCCTTACCTCCATCTTCCCAATGATGTCTCTTTCAATGATAAACTATTCATCTTTGTTTGTAATTACAATTTCAGTTCAGTTTCAGATTGGTTTTATCTAGGGTTTTTTCCCTCAAGCATACTATATTTGATGTATTCCTAAATATATTTTTTTTGCTAAAATACATCTTGTTTGTTACATCAGTACATATAAACAACTCAATTGAAACCTGCTGTCTTCATTTAACCCTTGATATGCTTTACTGAAGGATGAAGATGAAGGTGAAGATGTTCTCTCTTATCGGAACAGTGATCCCATTGTTGGAACCCACACTGAGAAAATATCCCTCAAAGCCAGTGACTCCATCGACAGTCTCTACAGTGGCCAGAGCTCTTCAAGTAAGACTCCAGGATTAGGGTCAATATCCTAGATGTGAAGTCCAGTCTCAGTTAATTTAAAATACACATTTTCTCCTGTGAGTTTCTTTATCAAATTAGCCACAAGGTACCAGAGAAATGGTAAAAATTTTGGATGTGCTGAATCTATCTGTTGAATTGCTGTTGTATAAAATGATACATAATAGGTAAAACAGTTTTATAACTTTTAACACTTCAGTCAGCTGGGCTATTGGAAATATGCCCCCAAAAGGTTATGTTGACAAATTAAATGGACATTTTCAAAATAAAAATGTGTGCTAGGGATAACTAAAGCATTGAGCTATGTGGAAAAATGATAAATTAGTTAAATTTTTGTAAATTGAAGTCTGTGTATTTCCAAAACAAGAACGTATACTGGAAAGAACTAAAGCATTTTGCTGCATTGAAAAATTTTAAATTACTTAAAGATAATTATATATACTACACTGGAAATAAAAAGGTGTAGGAAAGAGGGGTCACATTCATAGTTAAAATGACCACTACCAGATCGATCTTGAAATATAATGTTGTAGGTGGCAGGAAGGATAATTCCCATATCAGTCTTGTTAATACCACCATCTTTCAAATATATGCACCAACAACCAGAACCAAAGAAGACAAAATAGATGATTTCTACCAACTTCTGCCATGGCACTAGAGACATCACTGACAATATAATGGATGCCAGTAATGAATCTTGGCCAAAAGCAGAGAGTACCAGAGGAATGTCTATCTGTTTCATTGATTATGCAAAGGCATTTGACTGTGTGGATCACAACAAATTGTGACTAACCTTGAGAATAATGGGAGTCTCAGGACACCCTATACTTGGACCAGGAGGCAGTCAGACAGAGTGACGAAACACTGCATGGTTCAAAACCAGAAAAGGAGTGTGTCAGGGACGAGTTCTCTCTCCACACTTTTCAATCTGTGTGCAGAACAAATCATACAAGAGGATAGACTGCATGAGGAGGAATGACTTTATAAGGCATCAGCTTTGGAAGAAGACTCGTCAACAACCTGCATTATGCAGATGACACAACCTTATTTGCTGAAACTGAGGATGATCTGAAATATCTTCTGCAAAAGGTCAAGGACTATAGTTTCCAATATAGATTGAAGCTCAACCTCAAGAAAAGATTTTTCACCACTGGGTCAATTGGCAGCATCATGATAGATGGAGAAGAGATTGAGATTGTTAACAATTAAAGTTTGTTTGGTTCCACAATCAACACTCTCGGCACCAGCAGTCAGGAAATCAAATGACAAATTGCACTATGCATTAAAGAAATCTGCTGTCAGAGACCTTTCCTGAGTGCTAAAGAGCAGGGATTCCAGTCTAGAGACTAAGGTGCGTCTGATCCAGGCCATAGTCTTTACAATTACTTGTAATGTATCAGAGAGCTAGACAATAAGCAAAGATGACAATAGAATCGATGCATTTTTTGTTGTGGTGCTGGAGAAAAGTATACCATAGACTGCCAAGAGAACGAACAGAACTGTACCAGAGAGGGTGAAGCTAAGCTGCTCCTTGGAGGCAAGGATCTTGAGACTCTGTCTCACACACTTTGGGTGTGTAACCGGGAGGAAACAACACCAGATTCTTTAGAGAAGGATATCATGCTTGGAAGGGCAAAGGGACAGGGCAGGAGAGGAAGACCCCGGATTAATCGGATTAATCGATTGACATAGTAACTGGCTAATAAGGGTAGGTATGTCAGAGATAGTGAGATTAGCTCAGGATAGAGTCAGGTTCAGGGCTACTGTGCTTAATAGGGTCACTGTGAGTCATAGTCAACTTGATGGCACATAACAACAACAACCAAACTCAAATAAATTAAAAGCTGTTTCCCCCCTTTTTTCTCTCTATCCTTCTTTCTTTTCTCCTTCTTACTCTCCCTCCATCCCCTCTTCTGTTTCCTTTTTCTTTCTCCTTTTTATTCATTTATCCCTCATTCCCTCTTCACCCTTCCTTTCTCCTTTCCTTTTCTCAATTTTGCTCATCTTTTAATTTATTTTAATTTCATCTGTCCTTTTTCCCCTAAAGTTGTCTGAAAAGTACAGGACATTCACATCCATTTTCACGTTTAAAGTTTAGGTCTTGAACCAGTTTTAGTGAGTAAAGTGTGAAATTACATATAAACAGTAAATAGTTCAAACTTAACCAATTATGGGTCAAAAAAGGATTCAACAAATTCTCACAAGAATTTTTGAATTAACGTTATATTTTTTTAAGAAAGAAAAGCACTGTGGATTTAGTGGCATATCCTGCGATAATATTTGGATAAAGCCACTGATACTGCATGATGCCTTATGACTTTTTATATGCAAACTGTCTGATATCCCTCTAATCTTTTCAGAGATTTAAAATGTTTTTGTAAGGTTTATTTTCCATTTCCATTTAAAAACAACTGCTTCTATTATTTGAAGATGGATCACAAAGACCAGATGTTTCAAATATCCCGAATTCCATTCCCATTTCCTTACTGGCTGTGCAATGGTTATTTTGTGAAAATAGCTGGTGTAAAAACATTTGAAGGATCTATTTATGCATGTGTGAAATTCAGATTTTATTAGTATTTGTTCCTGCTGCAAGTTTTAAAAATTTAGATTCTAGTCTATAATGTGGGGAGAAGTTTATGAAATTAGACTGTGCCAAAAAAGTCCAGATCTTAGGGAAGTTATGAAAAGGAGGGCATGTAGAGGTGGAAACACAATTAGTAGTTATATTTTTTTGTTGTGGAAACACAATTAGTAGTTATATTTTTTTGTTGTTGTTATTGTTGTTGTTATGTGTCATCAAGTTGGATTGGTTCTTACCTGATCCTCGCCCTGCAGCGGCCTGCAATTTTCAGAGGCTGGAAATGGCACAAGGGGAGATTACTCATCTTTCTCCCTCTGAGTAGATGGTAGATTCTAACTGTGTGGGTTGATGGCACAATTCCTTATCCACTAGTCCACTTGAACTCCAAAGTACTTATATACAAAGTATATTTCTGTAATTACATACCTCATCTTTTTAATACCAGTTTACATGCAATATGGAACACCTAGAAAACTCATTGCTTCATATATGCAATGTATGAGAGAGAAATGTGAGTAGTGAAATTATATCAATCAGGAAAGCACTAAATAGGGACTGGGTAAAGGGATTCCTTCTTTTCTTCTGTAGAATGATGACTGAGAATGGTGAAGAAATTGAAAGTTAATTCTATTGGGAATCTGTCATGCTTCTAGAGTGGCAGCAAAATACGCATTCTCCTTTCTGTTTCCCCCGACCCTCACTCCCTGAGGCTCAAGAGCATAATGGAACAGAAGAAGCAAACAAGGATTTGGAGCAGTTTTAAAAGTTCAGTTTAAAACTATCATGAATCACTTGGGTTGCATACTTACAGGTCCACTTCCTCTTTCTTATCACAATTGCACAAGCAAAAGGTGCTGCTTTTACGTGTAAAAATATTAGTTCAAAATGGCATCTGGTACACAGTAGGCAGTCTGAGGAACATAGTTGCTACAATGGTGAGATGTCACAGCAAATCTTGTCATCTCATAACTTTATCAGTGCCATACAAAGATCAAATTGCTGTTATCAGTCTTTGTTTACATGAATAATAATATCTATAAATTCAAATACACCGTGTTACTGAATTCGATCCCAGAGGAAGAAGTAAGATGGTGTCTGGCTGGTGGTTGGGATTATATTGGCCAAAGAAAGTTCAGAAACAGAGATCCCAAACAGAAAATGACACAGAAACAGGAATCAAGTATTAGAAACCAGAAGGTTAGCATCTAATCTATAGGGAGTTGCTCTGCTAATTCAAAGGCAATGTCTCTCCACCAGTTCAAATCCATCATCAGTTCCTAAGAAGAAAGATGGACAACCATCTCCCCCACATGATTTGAAGCTCCAAAAGCTTACTGGAAGGCCAGCTCTGAGTCAAGTTTGACTTGATGGAAATAAGCTCTGTAAAACACTAGAAATGCACTGAACAAACTGATAACCCCTACTTTCCTCAGGTGGAATAACAAGTTGTTCAGATGGTACAAGTAACCGAGACAGCTTGCGGCTTGATGATGAAAGTCCCTACACTGGACCATTCTGTGGGCGTGCCAGAGTACACACAGATTTCACACCAAGCCCCTATGACACTGACTCCCTCAAAATCAAGGTGAGTGTGTGCCATCATTGCCTTCTAAATGATTTGCCAGTTGCTATGTTGTGTGATCTGGTTGAGGAAGTGTAAGCAGTTGCACTATAGACCTGAGAGTGTTTTTCCCCGACAGAAGATCTGGGAACTGGTTTACTGTGGCCTGGCAGGGTGAGGGAGGCCCTTCTGTTCAGGCTTTTGGTTGCTCTTATGAAGATCCTGGAGGTTCAGAGCTGGCTAGGGAGAGAGGCATTTTCTGAAAACTAAAAGCCTCATAGACTTGGGGGAGGCTCACTTCTTCCTGGTATTTGCTGGAGTAAAGATAACAGAGCTAAGAAGAGGGCGAGAAAATGGAGATGTCAGGCAAAGGTCCAGCAGGGTAAAGTCCTTGGGAACCATACTTGGCAGGGTTCCTCTAGCACTTTTCAGGTTGGTTGCCAAGAGTAACTAGAGATCTTTCTCCCAATGATATTCCCTCCTGAATTTTCTCTTCTTACTCAGGTCTTCTGTATTAATTTTACATTGTCATGACAAATTACATCCAACTCAGACTTAAACACCACTAATTATTAACATCTCTCTGGTCTCTTAGGTCACAAGCCTGGGAACGGCTAATCTAAGTTCTCTGTTTAAGAATCTCTCCAGGTTGAAATCTTAAATGTCAGCCTTGGATGAAATCTCCTCTGAGGCATAGGGCTCTTTTCTAAAGTTGCTAGTTGGTGATAAAATCCAACTCCTTGTGTGTATAACACTGAGGTCCCTAGGCTATGCCAAAGATCACTTGAAGCCCCTTCTCAGTTCCTGAGGCTACAGCCCTCTCTACAACATGGTCTTTAATTCTCTAGGACTAGAAGAAGATAACTTTGATGATTTGATGATTTGACTTGACACACTAAAAGTAATTGTTGTCTTACTTGAATCCATAATCAATACATGTGGTATTTGGATCTACACAGGTAGATCAGGAGATCAGGAGACAAATGGCACTGGAAAAGTCTGTAATCAGGGACTTCTCCAAATTATTGAGGAATAATGATGCCAATTTGAGGACTAAGGTGTGCCTGTTTGAAGTCATAGTCTTTTTCAGTCACTTGCTATGCCTCTGACAGTTGGACATTGAATCAGATGAAAGAAGAATAACTGCTGCCTTTGAGATGTGGAATTAGTGAATAGTTCCGTATATCTCATGCACTGCCAAAAGAACAAACAGGTATGTCTTGGAGAAAGTGTAGTCAGAATGATCCTTGGTGGCAAAGATGAAAAAGTTTCATTTCACATGCTTTTGGTATTTGCTAGGAGAAGTTATTCCTTAGAGAGGGATATCATGCTTGGGAAGGTGGAGGGATGGCGAAGGAGAGGAAGACCCTGAAACAGGTGGATTGGTATTGTGACTATAACAATGGGCTTAAATGTGTCAGAAATTGTGAAGATGGCACAGGATATGACAGGGTTCAAATCAGTTGTCATGGAGTCCCTGTGATTTGTACTTGACTCATTGGCACCTAACAACAATAACTACAGTAATTCAGTCAAACTCATGCAAATGGTGTGTCTTAATTAACTCAGAATCAACTAATGCAGCATTTTCTTTCATAAAAACAAAAATTATTTTATCATATAAAAATATAATAAGTTTAAGGGCACTCAAAGACATGTAATAACATCAACAATAATCATGAGTGTGAAATATTTTCCCTTCATAGTATCACCAACACTCCAAGAGTGATAAAGGGTGTGTACACCAATTTGAGAGAATAAGTTTGGTTGTGGGATATTTCTTAGTGTTCTGGCTATCAAGTTTTCTCATTTGAGAAAGCTCTTTAAACTCTTTTCAGATTCAATTGACAAATTAAAATTTCACTTAACACTAAATGTGCTTCTTTGTTATTTCATTTAAAGCTTCCACTGCAAATCAATAGTTAAAGTTAGTACCACTTTCTGTATGAGGCAAAGGAAATAAAATTTGCCACTTGTTCACCATCTACAATCCTCTAAGGAATCAACTAGAAGTTAGAGTACTGAATATCCCAAGGACTGCAAAATGAACAAAAAGAAATGTCTTAGAGAAGGTCCAGCCAGAGTGTTCTTTTTTTAATTTTTATTTTATTTTAATAATTTTAATGAACATTTACAGAGATTTAGGATTTCCATTCATTCATTGCTGCATTTCTCTTCCCACCCCCCTGCCCCAGTTCACTCCTCTCTTTGAAAAGTAAAAGAAAAACACAATTCCCCCACACCCCTCCCACCGCCCCAAGTACATTCCACTATGCAACCTTAATTGTGGACTCTTGGGATAAGAGACAAGAATGGTAAAGCTTTGTCTCACATACTTGGGGCATGTTGTTGAGGGGGAATTCCTTGGAAAGGGTCATGATGCTTGGAAACACAGAGAGGGGATCAGTGAAAGAGAGGAAAACCCTCAGTGAGATGGATTGACATAGTGACTGCAGCAATGTGCTCAAGGATGTCAGAGATGATTAGGATGGCTCAGGATAGGACAGAGTTCAGATCTGTTGTTCATAGTGCCACTGTGAGTCATATCAACTCTTTGGTACCTAACAACGATAATCATACTGCACTCTGAAGGTTACTGAGACTTGTTGTTGGGCTGGGTTATGTATTAGACTGTTAATTGAAAGGAAGAAAATTCAAAGAATCCTAGCTTAATAGAAGATATATGAAGCAGTCTGCTCCTGTTAAGTACTACTCTGGAAACCTATGAGTTTGAATCCACTCCTCCAGGTCTAGTGCACCAAGAGGAACATGCTAAAAAATTACAGCAAGTTCAGCTAGATGAGTTAGGAAATCATTCCCTTAACTCATGTCCTTAGTTTTTTATATTAAATGATTCAAGGTCTAAATTCTAGACTTGATAAATATATTCTCATAATTTAGTTCCGGAAATTCAAAACTGGAATCTCCATTGGGAGATTCCAGCCCACTTAGCAACAACTCAGAAGAAAGATAAGGTGATGTAATTCTGAAAACTAAGCCACTGAAAACCATATGCAGTACAGTTTGAATCTGATATACATGAATTCATTGTGTATTGACCAGTCTTAGGGTATGGTAAGAATCTTGCAGTTACCACTGAAAAGTGAGATGACACTATAAAGGAACTTATCCACAATGAAATTGAGTCTTCATTTATGCTTAGTGACCTTTAGGTCTTTCTAGAATGTGACATTTTTATGAATTTAAAATAAACACTAAAATGATATTAGGCCTAGAAACCCCCTCTTTTAGGGAGCTTTTAGGGGTTTTCCCCACCTGGTCAGCTAAAGCTATGTAGTCTTGGATTTAATTCCTTACAGATTAAGACAGGAAGACCCAAACTGACAGCTCACAGCATCAGGGATTTAGATGATCATGAATCAGCAATAATTGATCTTTCATTAACAATAAATGGTACACATTGTAAATAAAATTCGTATTTTACAAAAAATACTACATGTATGTAGTAGCAGGAGAAAATATATATATTTGGTAGCAAATATCTTGTTTGTTTTGAAGTAGTTCCTTCGAGGCTTTAGAAGTGTCAAAAATACTGCAATCTATAATGCCATCCCTGGAGGCAGGAAGTTATAAGGCTCAAAGGAGTATTTGCATAGAAACCCATTCTATTTAACAAAGAACAGCCCCCGTGGGGTTTTTTACTCTTGCCAATAACTAGCAAATTATTAGTCTATTAAGGTTCTTACAGGAGTAAAGTAAAAAAACCAATTCATTTGTTCATCTTGGTGTGCTTTATTCATGCTTCAACCCACACTTGGTTATAGAACTCAACCTAAAAATTACCTTCTCTAGCAAGAGTAAGAGCCAAATAGCATGACAGATACACACATGCTTTACTTATGCATTTAGTGAGCTCTGAACAATTTAATTATTTTGTAGGAATGAAATGTTTTAAAGGAATTTAAGTTACACAATCATTTTTTAGATGAACCAGAAGCACATAGTGACAGATTTTCCCCTGTTACAATTCATAAAGAAGCTCCACATGAAATGCTCTGAGTTTTGCTACATACAGATTCCTTAGAGAGCATGAGGGAAAGGACAACATTATGCTTCAATTCAGGAAACTTATTCTTGAGTTTTGGATCCTCTGTTAACTTTCTGCAAATTCTTGGGAATCATGTAATATCTATACTTCTTTTTCTTTTAAAGGTTTTAATAAGGGTGGTACCATATATATGGCATCATATAAGTAAAAACTAGTATAAGCAAAAGTGCTTTGTAAATCACACTGTGGTCTACAAATAAAGGTTGGCTGATAAAATGATACCAGCCCACCTATATTTGGCAAATTGATAAAGGTACTGATGAATGTTTTTGATGGATTTTCTTTAAGCATCTTGAATTCTTCTAGATTGTTGTACTGTTTTTTAGTGCTCTCTGATAGATTATGACTCATAGTGGCTCTATGAACATCAGATCTGAATTTGCTTTACCTGTGCCACTGGAAATTACTTGCATTAAGCATGGGTTTTTTTCTGAATCTTTTTTATTGTTTAAAACTCAACTTCTTTAGTATAATTGTGGAATTTGTCTCTCAATACAGCATTTCTGATGCAGATGACTGAATATGCAGAGGGGCAGGACTATGCGACTAAGATATATTGGACTATCGACAAAGGGACTTGCTATGTACAAGGAGATTGGCTGGTCTCGACAATCTACCGGATTGGCTAGTCTCATCAATAAATTGAAGAGAATAGGAATTCTTTTGGCACAGGCATTGGTCCCAGAGATTTTTTCTTTTTTTTTTTTTAAAGCCTAGCTAGAGAATAGAAGATGTCCCCCAACCTGTTTAGGACTGAAGGAGCAGCAACTGAAAGCCAATGTTGGCAGGACTGAGAGTTTTGTTGGACAATTAGAGCTACGAAGCTTGAGGCTGAAGTACCTGTGTGCACATTTCAGAAGCTGTCTTGACCGCATTTCATTATTAATTTTAACTGTAACGTCTTAACTCCCCCTATATGGCTCTGTGTGGTGTGTAAGATATCACATTGGATTTTGGACCCAGCCAAGCAGTAAGATTGTTGTTAGGATGAGTAGTAGAAGGCAGCATGGGAGCCTGAGCGACATGTCTGACCTCTTGGGAATTGGTTTTATGTTATTGACGCTGTAGATGGTGATAGTTTCCCCCTGCGAGGTTGGTGAAGGTCTAATATGGTGCTCCCCATGTACCTGTTGCTCTTTTCACAATAATCTTTTCATTATTCTAGTTTTTTTTAATTATTCCATTCTTTCTAAAACATTGGCCAAGTATCTGGTTCTTAGCAATCTAATCAGGCTGTTCCTTTGTCCTTAGAAAGGAGACATTATAGACATTATCTGCAAAACGCCAATGGGAATGTGGACAGGAATGTTGAACAACAAAGTGGGTAACTTCAAATTTATTTATGTGGATGTCATCTCAGAAGAGGAAGCTGCCCCTAAGAAAATAAAGGCACATCGGAGAAGTAAAAGGGAAAAACCAAAGACTTTACAGGAATTCCTAGAGAGAATTCACCTTCAGGTAATAATGCTATGGCCTGTTTAATTTTAGCTGGGTATGGATGGCATCATTGAGGAGACACAATCCAAGACAAGTTCTCTAACTATGTTGGAGTTTATAATCTAGATTCAGTGACTAATACACACTCCAATTGGTGGCCTCATTAGTAGAGGGTTGCAATGTTAAACCAAAGATGGGCAATTGGAAGCCACTAGCTGCCCCACTGAAGAAAGATGAGCAATCTCCTCCAGTGCCATTATAGCCTCTGAAAACCCGCTGGAAACTTAGCCATGAGTCTGTTCTGTTTCAGTGGCAATAAGTGAGTTATGATGAAATCATTAAAATTCTTAGAACAAAAATATTTCCACAGATTGCTTCAGCTAAAAAAAAATCAATTAAATTTTTATTTTTTATTTGATCCAGAATTTGTATGATGCTGTTTAAAAATGCAAGACTCATAAAAAATTTATTTTCTAAGAACATATCTTATTTTCCTTTATTACTTTATGATTCAAGGGCAGATCTTGATATAACATCCTTCAGACTAAACTTTTTGCAATGACAGTAAAGATTAGTGTTGGAAAAAACCAAAGATACTAGGAAACTAAAAGACCTTGAGAGAATGTATAAATGTGAGAATGTATAAATGTGAATAATAAAAAGACCATGAGGAGTAAAGATGTGAAAGGTAAAAGATAACAAGGAATTGTATGTTCTCTAGAGCATACTCATTTTATCAAAATAAAGCTGAGAGACAAGAACTAAATATAATGCTTTAAAAGTAATTTAGACGGGAAAAATGATCATAGAACACAAAACCATTTTAATAAGGACATTATGCTGTTTATATTCTAATATAAACATTTCTTGCTTCTTTTAGTAGTAAATGTTTATAAATTATATATGTGGCTAAGTAGTTGTACATGCAACACACTTAGCCTCATTCAATCTACAATTTCCAAACATTTTTAAAATTAATTGAGCAATGCATTGATGTTTTTAAAATTCATCAACCAATTAAACTTTCTTTAATTGCTTTTCTGAGTTATCTAGTTATGATTTATTTTGTTTTTTTTTGTTTTTTCCATGTCTTCCTTCTAGAAGACATTATTTTTATAAGATATTATTTTTGTAAGAAACTATCTTCCGTTTTTCTTACCATTTGTAAGGGCTTTTTAAAAAACAAAACAAACAAACCTAAGGATCTATTAATAAGTTCTTCTTAATTACTTAAAACTTTTAAACTCTTCTCACTCAATTTAACAGAAATAAGAACACTAAAAAGGCAGAAAAGGGAGAATATTTGAGGAAGTTGAAATATTTTGTACTTTTATCTTGTTAGAGAGAAAGGGCTTACGTAAATGATATATAGACTTAGAAATAAAAAGTTTACTAATTTTAAACAAGTATATATTGATGCAATTTAAGATCAAAACATACATGATAAGAAAAGGAAACAATTCTTTTCCCAACCATGGTGCTATCATGCCTAATAAAGAAAGGCTTTTCATTAAATAGATAATCTG